TTTAATAATATATCAACAGACGTACTATTGATAGCCGCAGAACCACAGCAAGCGCACACAATAATATTATAGGAACATTAACTAAACCAAGAGTATTGGGAACCGCCAAGAGATTCCACCATAGTGTTCATGTGACGTGAAGAATATGAAGCCTGAATACAGAGCTGTTGTAGAAATAATGGTGCTGATGGTAGTTAAAGCACAGAAGTAATTAATATCCTTAACAGTCCCATTTAGATGATTCAGGACCATGCTAATGCTAGCTATATTTCGCTAGCAGAAGTGTGTCCACACTCGGACCGCTTGGGCTAATTTGGTCCCAGCACGGACACATCCAGTCGACGTACTTTCCGTTTTTTTCACAGGGATTTAGTTTGGTACCAAAGTGTAAGTGGAAATAATCTCCGTTTTTTTTCGCAGGGATTTAGTTTCGTACCGAAGTGGAAATAATCTATATATGTTTGAGAATCCGACTGTGAATTTTTATCCAAATATATGAAAACGTACGTGTCTAATTACTATACCAAAGCGCCCCTGCGCGGACGATCTTTCCCCTGTAAAATGCAGGATCTTATTGTGAAGAACGGAAGTACGGCAGCGAACATATGGTAACGTTTACTTGGCCAAGACAGGAATAAGCTTATAACCATGGATATATTAAGGAAATGCAATAAAACACGGTTAAGTCTCTGACGTTAGCAGTCGTGTCCCTTCTAGCTAAAATAAACGAGTAACATGATATATGTTAGTGTTAGAGAACTGTGAAGCTTGATACACCTTTGCCCTTTAACATCCCCAAACACACGCGTTAGCTAATTCTCAGCTTGGCACTTCTCAGTTTCCTTGTATTATTTGAGCTAAATACAAATAATAGAAACATGAAGGTGTGTGTGTGTTTAAGCCATTTGGGGTGAGTATTAAGAGTATTAATTGTATCCTCACATTGATAACTACATGACAGAAATCCAAGCATGTCTAAATAATGGGGGATCACACAGTCTGATAACAAATTCCAAAAAAATACAATCCTAAAATCTGTTTTCTAGGCAGGAAACCATAAATGCTGGGCAAAAACCAGTCAGTAATCTGTTTATCCTGATGTAGGTTTGACCAACTTAGTAATCTGATCATTTCTGCCACTACCAATATGAAATATGACTATGAACATGTAATCTCTAAAATAATAAATTATGGAAAAAAAGCGTTTTAAACTAAGTAAAGCTCCAACTCCACCATGTGAATTACTAAGTGTGATGTTTGAAGTTCACTGTGGGAAATACTATTACCCAATTTTTGTGTATTGTGGTTTTAATGCTTTGTCGCCTTTATGTAACTTTTTTATTTTAAGACTAAGTGTTCTTTCTGGCTTTTGACTCCTTACCTGACTCCAAAGAAGAGCTGCACAAGAATTCCTATATGCCTAGACTGTCTGTTTATGCATAAATCCATCCATCCATCCATCCATCCATCCATCTTCATCCGCTTTATCTGAGACCGGGTCGGGGGAGCAGTAGTCTGAGCAGAGCCTCTCAGACTTCCCTCTCCCCACACACCTCCTCTAGCTCCTCAGGAGGAACCCCAAGGCGTTCCCAGGCCAGCCAGGAGACATAGTCTTTCCAACGTGTCCTGGCTCTGCCCTGAGAACTTTTTACGGAGGGACATGCCCAGAATACCTGCCCAGGGAGGTGTCCAGGAGGCATCCTAAACAGGTGCCTGAGCCACCTCAACTGGTTCTGCACAACATGGAGGAGCAGTGGCTACACTCCGAGTTCCTCACGGGTGACTGAGCTCATTTCTGCCGCTTGTATCTGCGATCTCATTCTTTCAGTCATGATCCAAAGTTCATGGCCATAGGTGAGGGTAGGAATGTAGATCGACCAGTAAATTGAGAGCTTCACCTTACGACTCAGCTGGATCGGTACAGAGACCGCATTACTGTGGACGCTGCACTGATCCGTCAGTCAACCTGCCACTCCATTTTTCCCTCACTCGTGAACAAGACCCCGAGATACTTAAAAAAATCAAGGCTCACGTTTACCCCACCCAGTATGGGGTCATCGGGGCCTCACCCTGGAGCCAGGCCTGGGGGAGGGGCTTGCATGCGAGCGCCTGGTGGCCAGGCCTTATACCCACGGGGCTGGTCGGGCTCAGCCCGAAACCATAAAGTGGAGCCACTCTCCGGTGGGCCCACCACCTGCTGGAGAGGTCGTAGGGAACCGGTGCATTGTGTTTTGGGCAGTGGCCGGGGCCGAGTGCCCGGCCATTGCCCAAACCTTGGATGCCAACTCTGGTTTTGGATCCCACGGTGATGTCTTCAGATTGGTTGTTTTCTAAAACCCATTGTCAGAGCAAATGCAGATTCCACACAGGCTAAGCTCTATAGACATCCCTGTCATCTCTCATTGTTCACACCAGAGAATTTAGCTGCCTTCATGTTCACCATGTCATCCTTTGCAGGTCTCTAATATGGCAGGCAGACGGGCTCTAAAAGCTGTGCTCATCGACCTGAGTGGAACAGTGCATGTAGAGGATGCAGCAGTGCCAGGAGCGCAGGACGCCCTGAACAAGTAAGAAGCAGCCCTTAAAACAGGCGCAGATGTCAAACAGAGGGTCCTGCCTGAATGGCCAAGACCTAAACCACAAGACTAGTGAGCAGTATGAGTACACTTTGGCCATAGTCCATGTAGGGATCTTTTTTTAAAATTTGGTTGGAAATCGGACTCAATCGATGGCTGGGAATGTAACATGCCCTAAAACACTGCTCCACGTGTAGTGAAGTGGGAACTATAGGAGTAGTAGTTAAATGAATGGAAAAAAAAAAGCTGCTCTCTGTTTATGAATGCAACAAGTCTTCCAGCACTATTGTATCATCATTTTATTATTATAGCTTCATATGAACTCTAACATCCTTTTAATTTTCAAATTGTTTGTTTTTGTGGTTTTGCGCTGTCAGGTTACGGCAAGCATCCATAGCTGTGAAGTTTGTGACTAACACAACAAAGGAGAGTAAGAGGGAGTTACTGGAACGACTGCAGCGTCTCAACTTTGACCTCCAGGTAGGGCATCCAAAGATAGATTTTATTTAGTGCAGGTGCTTCTGACCTTTGGAGTGCTGCCTTTTGAAAATGAACTTTGGTCTGCAGGATAAAGAGATCTTTACTTCTCTGAGTGCAGCAAGGAGTCTGCTGGAGCAGAAGCAACACAGGCCACTGCTGCTGCTGGAGGACAGCGCACTGGAGGACTTCACTGGTACTGGGTTGAAAGTGTATGTGTGTGAGACGGAGAGACCATGGCTTAAGTTGGAGTATAAACTGTTTTTATTTTCTTCCTTCTTCACCCTGCATTTCAAAATTTTCAGTTGATCAATAGTTACCCATTTAGTTTCTTGCTCTAAAGAGTTTAATTGCAAAGGCTCAAATCATCTATGTATTCTGACCAACAGTGGTAAAACCCTATGTCTTCAATTAACATGACTTTGAAAGAAGAAACACAGCAGTCTTTTGTATTTATGAAGTTGTAGCTGTTTGTATTTGATAAATGACGTCATATTTAAAACTGATTAATTGATCGATCTTTTTCCCACTATAAACTACTGTATATTTCTTTCCATCTGCAGGTATCGATACATCAGAGCCAAATGCCGTTGTCATTGGACTCGCTCCTGATCACTTCAACTATCAAACACTAAACAAGGCTTTCAGGTAATAAACTTAGAGGTTTCTTTCAGTGAATCACAGAACAGTTTGTGTGTTAATGTTTTGTTTTTAAGTGAAGATATGGGCAAATGTTTCAATTACTGAGACATTTTTCTCTGATTAGATGATTTGTCCGTCTGTAGTTTTTCTAGCTGCCAAAAAAATCTTCTTTTAAATAACCCTTTTTGTTTCAAAGTACACCAAAATCAATTGTGAACTTTAATAATGTTATTAGACCAGCAGGA